AGAAGCCTGGTGGGGGGTGGGGGGTGTCCTCAGACATGCTTGGAGAAGAGCAGGACGGAGGTCCTCTGGGTCCCTGGGAGAAGTGGGGGGGGGTCGTTTGGATTCTTGGAAGAATTGCTAAATTTGGGGAGGCCCCAGGGGTTGTTTTTGGAGGGGGTTGATCCCTGCAGGCGTTTTGGGGAGGGGTCTTGGAGGCCCTGGGCTGCTTGTTTGCCTTAACCCGAAGCCCACATGTCGCCATTGCGGTGGTGGATCTCCTGCAGGAGCTCACGGACATCGACACCCTGCACGAAAGCGAGGAAGGGGCCGGGGTCCTCATAGACGCCTTGGTAAGTGGCCCCCACGGGGGCACCTCGGGCTGGGCTGGGGCTCGGACCCTGGAAAGGAAAAGCAAGATTCTCGGTGGAGGCCAGGGATCCCTTTGGAAGGAGCCCTGAGCCCTGTGGCTGAGCGCCTTTAGCACTGATGATGTTCCCTAGCTGGGTCATGAAACGTCTTCCGAACTCAACAACGACCCCACAGTTCTCCTATCAGCAAACCCCCCTCCCTTCTAGCACTGATGATGTTCTCTAGTTGGGTCTTCAAACGTCTCAAGACAACAACCAATCTCAGCACCAAAGTCTCTACTTTCCTCCCACCCCTCCTCCTCCTCCTCCTCTTCTTCCTCTTCCTCCTCCTCATTTTCCTCCTCCTCTTTCTTCTCCTCCTCTTCCTCCTCCTCTTCCTCCTCCTCTTTCTTCTCCTCCACCTCTTCCTCCTCCTCTTTCTCCTCCTCCTCCTCTTCCTCCTCCTCTTCTTCCTCTTCCTCCTCTTCCTTCTCCTCTTCTCCTCTTCCTTTTCCTCTTCCTCCTCCTCTTCCTCCTCCTCCTCTTCTTCCTCTTCCTCTTTCTCTTCCTTTTTCTCGTCTTCCTCTTCCTCCTCCACCTACAGTCAACCCTGAGCCGGTGAGATTTGAACCGCTGAACTGCAGATAACAGCTGAAGTGGCCTGCAGTACTGCACCCTAACCACTGCGCCACCTTGGCTCTACTCCCCTCCCCCAGCTCTGTTTCTTTGCTTTTTTATTTCTTCAATCAATCAATCTATCAATCAATTGTGAAGGCTCTTTCGATCAGCCTGAATCTCTCCTTCCGCTGTGATTCCTCACCCTGGATCGCTTCTCTTCTCTCCCGCCTTTCCCATTCTAGGGCTCCCTTTCCCATCAATTTCCAAAAGCCCCCCAAAATGAAGGGATCTTTTAGACAAGATTCCTGAATTTCCGTCCACCCGTCCACCCCCCCGTGCCTCCTTCCGTCTTTTGCCAAGGCTGTGCTCAGTCCCCAGGCGGTGGCATTTCTGCTGGACACCAAAGCCCACCAGCCGATACCGCAGCAAAGCAATCCCTTCCCCGCCATCGCTGTGTGCGGCCAGCAGCCATCCGGCTGACCTTTCCTCGGTGGTCAATAAATTGCTTGCTGGAGGAAGCAGAAAGCGCTTGCTTCCCGCTGGCTCTGCAGATCAAATTCTGCCTATTCCTCAAACCCGAAAGGGGAGCCTTTCCCTCCCTCGGGTTAATTTGCTCTTCTGCCTGATTTGGCCGTCTTAACAATCCTCGCTCCCAATTTATTTATTCATTGGTTAAGTTGGTCCGGCGACCCTTCTCCTCCCGACGGCTCGGAATGGAGAACAGCTACGATTGTTTTTATGCTTGTGTCTTGGTTTTCTATTTTCATTATTTGTAAGCTGCCCAGGGTGAGTGGGTGGCCATATGAATTTTCTAAATGAATACCGTATTTTTCGGAGCATAAGACGCACCTTCCCCCCCCCCCTTAAAAGAACGTGGAAATGTTGGTGCGTCTTATACACCAAATGCAGCCATTTTTGGCCTCCCGAAGTCCCACCCCCCGCATCCCCTTTTTGCAAAAAATGGGTGGAAAATGGGCAGTTTTTCGCAAACATGGAGGTGTTTTTGCCTTCCCCCATCCCCCAGGAACACCCAGGCTTCAGCAGGGCTGGGGGAAGGAAAAATGCCCCCATTTTTTGTGAAAAACAGCCCATT